ATATCCGAAAATGACCAGAATAAATTCGCATTTTGACCAGAAAACTTAATAATTTTACCATGAGTTATATTACCTAATTTTGTGCTGTTCTTACCTTTTGGCTCTTTATTTTATTTTATTTCAAGATTTGAGGAAGATTAGAAGGAAAAAAGATGGTAATATTTAAGAAAAAAGATGAAAATTTTATTTGTTTTGTTCGATTGGCAATGTTGAAACGATCGAAAATTGTAAACGTGTATGGTGAATTTTCAAGCGTTTTTTGAAGCGAAAAAGTCTTCAATGGAGTTTTAATCATCAAAAGTCGATTGAAGATTTGTTTCTTACTGCACAAGCAGTGCTTTTAGTGCCTTTTTCTTGCGGCCGGGCTTCGCTTTTTGTTCCAAAATCGTTGGGATGGCTGTCCGCGGAAGTTTGCAAATCTTTTAGCGGAACAATGATTCCGATTTATCGGTATTAAAACGAATCGGAATGATAAATCGGAATAAGTGTTCCGAGATTCCGATTTATCGGAATTTTTCAATGTAAATTACTTATTAAAAAATTTGGTTGGAAAATTTTCGGAAAAGCGCCACTGTGGAAAATCGGGAAATCAGAGAAAATTCAGACCAGTCTCGGCGGGAAATTTCATGTGAGGTGGCGACCCGAAGGGCGATTTTCAAGCGAAAAAACCATCCATTTTTGAGATAAATGAAAAAATTCGGATGGCAAGTTTTTTCCATATATCTGATATTTTCTGATTATTATTGGAAACCATTCTGTGCATTTTGATATATTTTTCTGGAGAATACCCATTTTTTTCTGATCCGTTTATGAAACGATTTCGGATATTTTTAAATATAGTTCTGTTCATTGTAGTTTTTTTTCTGATCAATTTTGAAAAAAGATTTCTGATCATTTTAGATATTTTTCGGCTAGTTTCCAAATTTTTCTGATCAAATTAGGTTTTTTTCTGATCAAACTAATAAAAAAAGTTTCTGATCATTTTCAATATTTTTCGGATACTTTGCAAATTTTTCGAATCAAATTTGTAAAAAAAATTTCTGATCATTTTAAATATTTTTCGGATCATTTTCGAATTTTTCGGATCATTTTCGAAAATTGAGGATCAAAATTAAATGAGCCATAAATTATTCGGTTTCCAAATTAGACATATTTTTGACACTTTTAAACAATGGATTTCATTGTTCTCTGACTTATTTCTATCGCATTTCCTGACTAGACCATGGGAAATCTAGGATTATGAATATTTTTTTCGTTATCTATGGCCAAAAATCAACCAAATACCAGTACTCCCAGTCCAGAGCGGTCAACGAGCGCTCGTTCGTTCGTTCGTATGCGAACATGTTCGTTTGTTCGTTCGTTCGTAGAATCTACGAACATGTTCGTTTGTTCGTTCGTTCATTCGTAGGTAAAATTTCATTTTTTTTTCAAACATAAATTTTTCTTATGCCTTAAAAAAATATAGGAATGATCCTATAATTTCCATTTAAAATAAACAGTTATAACGTGCAAAACAGTTATACGTTTAGACAATGTTTTGTTCTGTGATCGTACAACACACACAATTCGAGCGACAATGTGCTTCATGATATCACAGCAACAAGACGAATCTGAAATGTGCACACATACTTGGCAAAAAGAGATGAACACTGTCTTTGTCACTTTTTTTCTATCTCTCTCCGTATGCATCACTTTCTTCGTTTCACAACATTTGAAACCAGCATTATTATTGCTTCTTTCTCTTCTATCTGTCGTATGCGAATATACGAACCAAATTGAACAGAAGAAAGTGATTTGCGGCGATGTTCTTTTCGTTGAGTGTTGTAATGTTTTTTTTACCTTTATGTTCAATGAAAAAATTATTGTGTATCGTCTACATCCTATAAAAATAGTATAGCATTCAATTATTTTCGAATGGATTTTGCTTTTCGCATTTGAATTGCTCCGTTAATATCGCCTTCTCTTATTTTGGGCTGTTTAGATAACATTCATTTTTTTAAATGGAAATTATAGGATCATTCCTATATTTTTTTAAGAAACAAGAAAAATTTATGTTTGAAAAAAAAAATGAAATTTTACCTACGAACGAACGAACGAACAAACGAACATGTTCGTAGATTGTACGAACGAACGAACGAACGAACATGTTCGTAGATTGTACGAACGAACGAACGAACAAACGAACATGTTCGCATACGAACGAACGAACGAGCGCTCGTTGACCGCTCTGTCCCAGTCCTAGGAAAAATTCATGCAGTTGAGGGTTAAGGCTCTTTAGGCCATTTTTTTGGACCGTAAATTAGTTCATTTTTATATTCATATTTTTATTTCAAATGAAGCAATTACGCCTAATTTCAAAAATGAAATAAAATCATGTTCACTTTTGAGATAACTCAAAGAAAATTATACTTTTTTCGTTACCATTTTGAAATAATGTACATAAAACACATAAGTGAAGAATACAATATCTTCATATAAAGAACACCGCAAGTCGCTACTGAAGGAATTGAACTACTCATTTATATTGTAAGGGAGAATTCACTTATTTGCGTCCTTCTTTATTTAATTATTTTTGACAATATTAAAATGATTCAGGACTTGAAATTTTTATTCACTTTGATACAATTTTCTGGAAAAACGTTGAATTAAGAATATTTATTAGCGTTTCTATTTTGGACAATTGAACATTTTGAAAAGCATTTTCCAACACATTTTTTTCCAGTTTTATTTATTTGGAGTTGAAGTTTTCATTTTTCTTTTCTTTACGGGATGAAGTGAAACAGACATTTCAAACATCACGTCAACTTTGTCGTCTTTGTAGAAAATATTACGTCCGGATCAAACATAATTGATAACTTTTTAAAATAACTTTCAATAATTAAACAAAAAGTATACTACGATTAAAACTACATTCCATGTAGTGCTTGCGATAATAATTTGATGAGAAACATCAAATTAATTAAATCCCTTAAATTTACAAGCTTCAAGAACGCAGAGCGGAGCGAAGCGACGATCTGCGGTCTTGTTTGTACTGGAAGCGTCAATAAAACTGACTCAACAGATTTGAATGGTGCAATTTAGCAAGACAGATGTCTGTCAAGATGAGATAACTTGTTCCCCTTGAATAAGCATGACTGGCACATTCTCCACATTTAGTTCCATGTATATAAACTTGAGATGGCTGATCAACCGTTAGTTATTGAATTTAGCCCAACAGATGCTATACGGTTTCTTGTAAGATATCTGTGAACAAAACCAAATATTTAAAATGTTTAAAACCCAATACGATAACGAAGCAAAGCTGTGGAGAGGTCGTGATCAGCTTCCATTGTACAACCCAAAAATATCACTGGCTCAAGTGATATTGAAATCCTGCATAAACTTTGGACCAAAGATTGCCCAAGTAATTGGACACTTTTTTTCATAATTTTCAAAAATTTCTCACATAAATTATTCAAATGGTCATTGAAGGTAAGCGCTGATTCGGGCATAAAATTGAGCAATGATGAAATTCGCATCAAAATGATACGTGCTGCTCAAAATCTACAAAAGCGAGGATATAATTCAAAAGAGGTGTTTGCAGTATTAGCAAAGAATTCGCATCATTTAGCGCCGATTGTGTTTGCTTCGTTGGCCATTGGCAGTGCAGTCAATACACTTGATCTACAATTTTCAAAAACCGAACTCCTGCATATGCTGAAAACAACCAAACCAGCTCTGATATTTTGTGACGTTGAAGCTTACGATCTTACAAAGCAGTGTTTGGTTGATTTAGATAACAGTGCAAAGATATTTACATTTGGCGGTAGTAAAGGTGACTCGGAACCAGTTGAGTGTTTATTTACAGAGACTCACAATGAGTCCGATTTTGTGTAAGTTTTATAAAATTTCGAAGTTTATATCGTATTTTCGACTAAAATAAATATTCATTCGATCTCAGGCCAGTGAAAGTCGATGGTGAAAATGAAAGTGCAGCCATTGTGTGTTCCTCCGGAACAACGGGATTATCGAAAGGCGTCTGCTTATCACATGCTGCTTTGCTCGATGGTTTCGCTCATTTTGATGCATTCACTTCAAATGATGTACTACTGTCGTTTAGTTCATTGTACTGGGTCACTGGTTGGTATATGTTGTTAGCAGGAACGATTCAAGGTGCAAATCGTATTATAACAACGGAAACTTACGATCCAGAAATGCATTTGCGACTAATTGAGCAATATAAAGTGACATTTGGACTCAATTCGCCCACTCATTTGACGTTGTTGTCGAAAAGTGATCATCTCGATCAGACTGACTTATCAAGCCTCCGATTTCTAATAGTTGCTGGTGGCAAATGCTCTTTCCAAGTACAAAATAGAATAAATTCGAGATTGCCAAATGGTAAAATTCGCGTTGGCGATTGAGTGAGGCAGCCGGTGTTATGAATACTTAGTAATTTGGGTGAAACTGACTCAGTCGGCCAGATAGTGAGTTTTTGCAGCATAAAAATCATTGACGATAACGGCAATCGGTGTGGTGTTGGTGAAGATGGTGAAATTTGCTTTAAAACCAATTATAAGTTCATTGGGTATTATGGCAATCAGAAAGCTACCGATGAGTCAGCCGACAATGAAGGGTTCTTCCTAACAGCAGATATTGGCCATTTCGACGAAGATGGAAATTTGTATATTGTCGATCGGAAGAAGGATTTTATCAAATATTGTAATTTACAAATTTCACCGTCACAAATTGAATCTTATTTGGTTGAATCGCCAAAAATCGAAGCGGCTTGTATCGTAGGATTGCCAGAAGAGGTTGCCGGTGAATTACCAACCGCTTTCATTGTGCGTGGCAATAAATTGAATATCAGTGAAAAAGAGGTTTATGACATGGTTGCAGGTACTTTTCTTAAAAATTCAGTGAAGAAGTTTTGAGATGTTTAACTGAAAAATGGATTTTTTTTATTTAGGACATTTTGCCGATTATTGCAAACTGCGTGGCGGTGTTCATTTCGTCGATTCACTTCCAATGACTCCATCCGGTAAAATTCTGCGCAGAAAAGTCAGAGATTCAGCTTCTCAATTTACAAGGTTTAAATTTTCCCATCCGCTCGATAGAGCCTCCATAGGTTGAATCGAAAGAGTTTTTCAAAAGAGACTCTTTCAAAAGAATCTTTGCGAAAATGTTCAATATTCTGCTACAAATTACGGCTGTAAACTATATTCAAATGATTGGTTTTGATTTATATTTTAATACTAT